GAGGGACTGGCAGAATGGCTGACTCTACTGGTGACTCCAGCTGGAAAACTAAACCAGATGGACACACAGTGAGCTCTGGGGGGAAAAGATCGGTTTTCCTACCGGAACTCGTGGCATTACTCCCCTGAGGCTATGCTCCGCTAACCAGCCCCAGAAAGAAGGTGAAGAGAAAGAAGTAAGTGGGTGCCCTGTGAGAGCATAATTGATTGTGTGTGTGTGTGTGTGTGCGCGCACACTGAACAGGGCTGCTGTTTGTATAAGAGAGCAGAGTAACAAGAGGTTCAGCTCTCCACTCAGATGCTACATCCTCAATATTATTGAATAAAGGCCTATATGAAAAGCTAGTGAGAAACTGATGCTTGACAACTTCAAGCTCACAAATTAAAAGAACAGCTTTCTCTGTTTTTATGAGAAATGTAAGATAAATATAGCACAAAGAATTCTGATAACATTGAGGAACAATTACACAAATCAATGAATCTGTGAACTGAATCAACCAGTTTACTAAATCAGACAAAATATGCTACTTGATAGAAACACTACTATGAAAGCAGCTGAACTACTGTTACATTACTGAAGAATGTAATTATGTTAGGATCACAGCTGCTTTTAGTTACTTCCCATCACAGCATCTGACTACACTGGGGCTAACAGATTATACTGTAGTCAAGCTTAGATTTGGTCTAAGAAACTTAGGAAGTAACTAACAAAGGATAGGGAAACTATCAGTGTGTAATGATAAATGTGTAGATCTTAGATGAGATGGATACTTACTGTAAATTTTATTTTCAGAGCTCTTATGTAGAAAAGTCTCTACACAGACTATATAGCTACTATACTAACAGACTATAGCACACAGTACTACCGGCCTACACACAGAAACAATGAAGGGTGATTCATGGGCAGATGAGATGAGCCTTTGTTAGTCCTGAGGATTTTGATCCTGCAGCTCTAATCAGGATGAGAGACATCAATCATGAAAGACTCAGTCAAATACATTAAAGCACTGCTGCTCCAAGCCCATTATGCTTTAAAAGCAAATCAACCAGCCCTGTTCAGAGACCTGTCTATTTCTAAATAATACATAACTACATTCTAAGTAGAAACATAAATTAGTGTTAGTGCTGCCTACAGTATAGCAACATGGTAACATTGACACCATGACATTGGTTATTTTGCAACTGTCAAATTTTGTCTGAAGTATTTTGTGACATTTAAAAGAAAACACGCACTGCATTTCAAAGAAACCAACATTTTTTTTTAAAATCTTTTAGAATTTTATTTAATTCAAAAATATTTTGGTTATGCTGGATCTGCACTTAAAAAAGTGTCTAGTTTATATAATTAATAATAAAATGATAAGAGTACTCATCACTATCAGAAATGTCCTGAACAGGAAGGAAACAAATCATGGAAAAAAAGTTTCTAGTGTGACCCTCTCTCAGCACATGCACAAATGCTGGATGAGGATAATGTACTGACAGTAAATGGCCTTAAGTGTAAGACCATGATTAATGCTCGCTGTCAATCTCATTTGCCTCCAGGTGGAAACCCTCATGAGAAACAAGCATTTCCTCTGTTGAGTAAAGGGATAAAACACACGGGTACTCACACAAAACTCTGTGAACACTGTAATCCAGTGGGTTTTAAAAAGTCTTGCTCTCATATAGTTGCATAAAGCTTTAAGCTAATGCTGGGCAATAAAATGATAATGATAATTATTGCGATATAATTTCTTGATGAAATGATAACAAGAGTTTGATAAATGTTCTATATAATGTTCCCTATCGAACGGTCTCTCCTGTTGTGTTTAACATGCTTATGGGGAAACTCCCGTTTACTCCGATACTGAAGCCTGATTTGTGCAACTGCACAAAACAAATGGCACTTCAACCCGCCAAAAAAAAAGGACGAACTCACCAGGACATAGCGCGCCCCCTATTTGGTGCATGTTAACTCCACTTCTGCTGCTCTCACCCCTGTTGACGGCGTTGAAGAAAGAGGATATGGCAAGCTCCCCCCTCTCGAAGAGGCGGTTGCTGTGCATCTATGCCCACCATCGACCCTGGGGGTAAAAGCCCATGCAGTGCATCCATCCAAGCCCTGCAGGATGACCTCCGCTCTGGCAAATAGAGCTTATTCAACGGCTGGCCAGGCTGGCTCAGCACTTCACATGATGGCGGTGCTACAAGTGTTTCAGGCAAAAGCTTCTCCGCAATATGGAAGAGTCTGGCCCAAGTCCTGATGACTTTAAAGAGCTGTGCACAATGACTGACCTGGAAAGCCATTCAAGATGTGTCAAGCGGAGTACTAAAAACCACAGAACGATGTTACTCGCCCAAGTTTGCTCGCAGGACACCTTGCTTCAGGAGGTATTATTCAAACTTTGGTACAACACAATGATGCTTACATTCATCAGTCCGAAGTGCAAACTTTGCTAGCAAAAGGAGCCGTGGAGACGTTACTCTACTAAACAGCAAGTCGGGCTTTTACAGCCGCTACTTCCTCGTTCCCAAATGGTTTCCCCATAAGTGTGTTAAACGCAACGCTCATTCCTTCATCTCAAGGAACCAAGGTTACGTTAGTAACCGGAACGTTTATGTGCCAAAGGCGGAATGAAACAGCGCTTCTCATTCGAAGTGCGCAACACAGACCCTTTATCCGCTCGGCTCAAATGACCTGGTGATTTAAATGAGTTTAAAGCCAAATGAAACCACGCTGACAAACAGCAGAAACACTGTGCGCAATGATACAGTCAGAAGACTACAAAGTCTACATATCGCGATAATTTACAATGGATTTACTAACTGTAACACTAACTACACCATGGTGTTGTGACAAAAATGTGGGATATTCATATTGAATTTTATTATATTATTAATGTAGTGATGTATTAAATGAATTAAAGGAGTAATGGAATATAATTACAGTATTTTTGTGATCAAGTTATAATATTTGTGCATTTATACTAAATGTATTTAGACTCCTGTTTTTCATATAAATTCCAAGAAACCATATAGTTACATATTTATGATGGTAATGAGGTGCTATATGTGTGGTTTTAACTGTATGCTACTATGGAAGACCAAAGGTCTTTTAATAAAACGAGGCTGTTACAGTTTTTACAGATGTTACCGTTTTTGATAATGAACATAAATTTACATTTGCATCCTAACACAAGCTACTGTCAAATGTGCATTTCTAAAAGACCAAAAAAATAATAAAATAAAATAAAGAGTAATATTATTATAGCAGCCTGCATTGCAAACTGCTAACCTGCTTCATGATTTGAAACAAAATCACTCATTACAACACGCAGAAACTAGTAAATTAATTTTTCTATTAAGATATTTATTTTGTTAAGGAAAAATGACTGGAAAAGTGAAGAATTCAAAAATGTGAAGTGTTTGTTATGTTCTGACCATAAAGAGTAGTTTAAAACCACAATTAAAGGTCTGGTTTCTACAGCTTTCAATTAGGAGCAAATATCTGCCTTTAAACTTGTAAGAAATAAAGATTTGGAATTTATTTTTATAATTACTAATATCGACTGATATGAAAAATTTTACTGTGATAATTTTTTGCCCATATTGCCCAGCCCTACTTTAAGCCATGAGAAGTCATGCATTACAGTGACTTTACCATTGTTAAGGGAGATGTTAGGCATGACAAATTAAAATGGCGACAACGGCAATATGATAAAAAACAGAACTGTCACCATTTCAATTGCTTATACTTACAGTCTGAAGATGAAAACATACCCATATCCCTAAGTATTAAACCTCAGGGCATAACATGCCTTATACGATTTGTGCTGTTGACATGAATGAAAACTCAAAAAGTGCAGCCTGAGGTGTGCCATTACTTTTCCAAGCAATGGGATGAGGGTTTTCAACTGGGCAACAATAAAATGGCTGAAAAAAATTGACCCAGGCCATATCTAGGGACCAAAATACCACAGAGACATGGAGTGAGCTCGTTTGACACTGGCCAGTGAGCAAGTACCTATAACAGTCCAACAACCATATGACAAATAGGGATGGGCGATATGGCCAAAAATATTATCACAATATTTTTCCCATATCATATGATATTGATTAAAATCCACAGAGTAAGCTACCTTTTAATTTAGGGCCCCATAAAATTCATTTGATTTTCCCCTAAATTCTGTGTTTTCCATTTAATTTTTTTCTGGAGTCTGTATTTTATGATTTAAAACAAATTTATCATCAAAAATTGTTTAATTAAATTAATCAAACTAATTAAACTTTAACAATTTAAACAATCATTAATCAAAGGAAAATATAATGATTAATTTACAACAAAACATTGCATTTTGTCAAAAGAGATGCTACACAACAGAACTGTATAAACTAAAACACAGATGACACTGTGAACACACTGTTGTCAGGTTTATTTCTGTTGTGACAGGCTTTCAGTTTAATCCATACAGAGTAAAAATGTCCAAAGCTTATCATCGTTAACAACATAAATTTCATGATCTTAATAAAATTATATCATTTACCACCCATCCCTAACGGCAACACTCTGGAAGGCCGTGGAATCAGCATATACAGTTCTCACATCCATCATAAGGACGTGCTTTAACACCAAGTACTAGTTATATGAACTGACATTTCCACTCAGACCCAAGATAGACCTCACATTAGCCATCTCTCTCTGTGAGCATGTTGGAGTGCCAAATCTGACCGCATGCCGCGTCGCCTGAAGCCAGGACACACCACACTGGATGCCTTAGAAGTCCAAACATTTTTCTGCCTCTTATCATCCATCCCACACTCCCCCTCTCTTTGTTCTGTTCTCTTCCAAAAGATGTCTAAAGCACTAAATCTATTTGCTAGCACATTCTTCTGTTTTTGATTCTTCACTCAATAACGAAATAAAAGAAAAGCAAACTGCCAGACTGTTTCAGATAAGAAAGAGAGAGAGAGAGTGGAAGAGTGAGGGAAAGAAGAAAGGAGCTTATTTTCTTAACTCACCTTAGTAAAGAATACTGAGAGATGAGTCTCGCTGCCAAGGATCCAAATAGGGAATTTTGGAGATTTGAGAAACGCGCCAACCTTTAAAAGCAGAAAAAAGAAACAGCAGTTGAGCACCAATCTCCATACCAATGCCATGATGGCCTGGCCAGCCACATTCCAGAACCATCACAAACAGGTTGATTCACTGCAATAAGATGATTGGTAATACTTATAGGAACAGCCAACTATTCAATCATTCAGCTTATGAAAATGTTTTGAAGCCATTTTACACCCAAACACTAGAATGTTCACTATAACTGATTATGAACGGTTGATTGTATTATGTGAACACTGAAACATGTTCTACATCAGGGGTGGGGAACATCAACTCCTGGCTATATATGGCCCCAGAGACCATTTAAACAGCCTTGCAAGGCCATTTAAAATGTAGTTTAAAACGTATACAAATAAAAAAAAGTATAAAAATAGCCCTGATTTTATTATAAAAAAAATGTAATTTAAAATAACTATCAAGATATAAAATATCAATAAATATATTTCAAAATTTTAAAAATGCAACTAAATGTTTACTTCTCTGATGTGTCATCACAAGCAAGCACAGAATCAGCTCATTTCAATCCACAATTTAAAATGACTACTGTCAAGAATATAAAGGTGAATGCACTTTCAGCCATTGCATTAAATGTAAGTTATGCTTATACTTCGGCCGTCATTGTTCCGCGACAGTCCGCACAATGCAATTTTTGTCATCAAAAGCGTCTGCTATTGTACGCAGACCGTCCATGGATGCAAAAATCGGGCTCTGCGTGGACAGTCCGCATACAACAGCGCACATGCAAGATGAATGTTAAGATGTTACTGCGGACATACAGTGGAAATCTAATTTTTTTCTGAAATAGTTAATCTTCCTTGTTCAAAATATAAAGGAATATCAGCTGTGGGTATATCACTGTTCTACTGTACTAACATGTTTGACAAAATAATTAAGGATTTTCAACAAAAACCTTTATTTTGTGGAAAATATAGTGATCAAAATTAGAGAGCAGTAACCACTGCAGCACACTGGAAGAAAAGTGGACAAAGATCACACCAGTGCAGTCTCTTCCATAGTTTGGCAACTGTAGTGGGTTACTTAGCCATAACTTTGCCGTCAAGGACTTTCCAGATATTTTCAATCTGGTTTAGATCAGGACTCTGGGCCGGCCATTTCATTATTTCAATGTTCTTAGCTTCAAGTAACTGCTTTATATGTTTTGCAGTGTGACGGGGACATTGTCTTGCATGAAAATTGCAGGCTGATTGGGAGATACTTGCAGGTAAGAAACTGCATGTTGCCGAAGGAGGTTCTGATAAACATTTACATTCACCTGCCATGTAACGGAATAAGAGGCCCAACTCCTGCTGCACAAAACAAACCTGCCCCCAAACCATGACACTTCCTCCTCTACCTTTCACTGACTTCTTTACGCACTCGGGGTTCAGTCTTTCCCCAGTTTGACACCGAACATGTTTCCCATCACCCTCAAATAAATTAAACTTTCTCTCATCACTAATGCCAAGTTCACACAACAGGATTTTAAGCCCGATTTGCAAGTCAACGAGCTTGTCGACAGGCCAGGCTGTGATCGGGTGCAAATCAGTGTGTAATCAGTGCTGTGTAATTTGTGTGTGTGAACTACTCAATAACATGCTAAATATTTGGACCAGTCGCCCAATTCGACATCCTGTGGTGTTCAGGTGTCGCAACGAGCCACAGGCAATGATAGAGCAAGACATGGGTTGAGGTCACCGGAAGAAAAACAGCAGAAGCAACATGGCTTTAAGGAAAGTGTGGACACAAGAAATGGAGCAAAATAACAGATTATCGTGCAAACAGCTTGCAGCACTAATTTCTTCCCAACGTCCATTTTCAAATAAACAACTCCTGTTTCATGCGTTGTTTCGTGTCAATTCCCGTTCCACTTCTTAATTGTGTTTTCGTGACAAAATGTGGTTTGGGGACCGTATGGAGTCATTGGGTGACAGTTGTTGTCAGCTCATGTAGTGTGTGACACCCTGTTGCGGATCATTTACATAGTGTCATGTAGTGTGAACAACAAAACAACTTCAAGACAGACAGCAAGTCATGTAGTCTGAATAGCACAGCAATCTGCCAATGTTTAAATTAGTGTAGTCTAAACTAGGCTTAAAGTTGGACCAGTTCTCCTCTCTCCACACAGCATGCTCCTCAGCAAAGGGGAGTCTAGCCTTTTAATTATTTTTGCTGATGAGGATTCGCCATTGCAGTGTGCTGTCAGTCCGACTTCTCTTAAACATGCCGAGACAGATCCTTAGCCTGTTCAGCGCTGAACTGCTGAGCATTTTCAGCATGGGGTTTGTCATATAATTAAAGAAATTAGCACCAGGCTTTTTCAAATATCTCATTTAAGTTTTTTATACTGTGCTTCAGAATACAATTTATAAAATATTCTTAAAAAACTGCCCTTCTACTCCTGTTAGGATAACATCAAATAGGACTAAACAGTGACCTTGTAATTTAGGAAATTGTAGGTTGTTCTTTAATTTTGATCTCTACTGTATGCTATTGCATACTTATTTACACATATATAACTTACTGACCCCAAACTTTTGAACGGCAGTGTACAAGAAAAAGTTTCCCCACCCCTGATCTACATACAAATGTTGCACACACACAAACCACATCCATCAATCAAAACCAAATTAAAACGGAATGAGATGAGAGTCAGCAGTTTAACACAAACCTGCAGTTCAAAGTGTAGCTCTGCACACTCTGCCTACAGCTCGATCTCCAGCAGTGCATCCAAACACTGAAAGCCCTCACACTCAGCTCACATCACTCAACAGGTAATTATCAGCAGCAGATTTGGGTGGGAAGGTGTTTCAGGGGTATGCGGATTAAAAGGATCATGAATATTGTGATGGGGGCTCGGATGATTCTAAATATGAGGCGATACATTTCTGCATTCCTCTAGTCCAAACACAGCTCACTGCACATATCCTGAAGCTCTGCTTAGTACAGTGCCATTCCAAATAAAGCAGCTTCTTAATTACTTTCTCCACAGGTTAAAACAATAGAGCCATTCCTGCCCAGGCTCATAAAACATACAGGATGTGCAGGTGCCAGATTTCTGATGCTCGCCCTTTAGAGGGCAACACATTAGTTAGGGAGCAGGGAAGCATTTAGCTTCTGAAATAATAAATAAATACTACTAACTGCATAATTTAAGGACAGTTTAATTTCTCCTGCTGAAATGCTGGACAAATGAAAATATATTTAGATTTATTGACTGCTAGGTTGAGTATGCACAGAATATATTTAGTGCTTATTATTGGCAAGACGTGATTTGCAGGATGTGATGACATACTTAAATAAAACAATAATAAAAAGTAAACCAAAGTAGAACACTTTATCTGATTTATATTGAAACATGATAGATGGCATTTGTTTAACAGTGAAGCATGCTGGGTAATGATGCTTTGCTAAAAAAAAAATGTTAGGAAAAAAAAAGAAAATAGAGAAATAAAGGAAATATAAAAAAATGGTAAACAGAAGAGAAAAAAAGGACATGAACAAAAAGAAAAAAAGACAATAAGAAAACAAACAAGCCACAGAATTTACCTTGTACTACGCAGAATTTCCATAGTTGTTTTATGTGTGAGAACAAACCTAGTGAATGTTTGTTCTTAATCATAAACATTCTTCAAGAACCAAAAAAAGAAAATTGCACAATAGTCTGACAGAGTGATGACTCTGACACCGGTCTGTTCAATGCAGTCAATATTTCAGTAGATTATTATGTTGCATTACATTTCACAAATTCCCTGTGAGATGTACAGCTGGAAAACAGCAAAACCACGAAGAAACTGTGAGCTTTGGCATCTGGACACTCTGCATCTTTCAAGCAAAACTTACTTGATTTATCAACACAGCAGACAGTGGGTACACTATCTATACCACATACATTTTAAATCGAACTATAGTATTATAAGCTCCTGTGAGGGTGCTAATGAGTAGACACCCACCTTGCAATAGCACAGTGACTCCATTAGTGTGAGGAAGCCAACAGACGCCTGCTGATGAATGCCACAAAGCTCTAGAGAAAACAAAAACCTGAATAATTAAACTCCTCTATCAACAAAAATGAACAGTCTAATATAAAGCACTCTTTGAAACCTTAAGACCGTAGCATTTTCTCAGCAAGCATTTTTTTAAGTGTGCTAAAGCTTTAGAAAAAACATTAGATAATGCTGCCATCAAGTGGTCTGCAAATGCAGGACAACTGTGACCTACTGTAACTCAAGAGTTATTTCAAACAAACAGCATGTCAACACATTAATATTCAGTAAAAATATTAAGCATACTCATTCCAGAACATTCTCTATCACCGTCCCACACGTTAGACACAGCATGCCCCGTCACCAGAAGGTTGATTAGACTTTGGCTAAAAAGTATGGGGGAAAAAATGTAACAAAACAGTCAACATTCACTATAAATGTAGTTTATGGTGCATTATAGATAAATCTATCAGATTCACAATCCAACTAGAACAGCTGCCTAGAAGTCACGATCAAATATAATGCAAAGAACTTGAACTCCCATCATGAATTTTACCTGCCGTGGCCATACACGGGGTCAATCAGAGGTTCAGAGGTGTCTTCAATCTCATTCTTTATGTTCTCAATTCCCTTCAAGTTGAAGTCAGACCATAAAAACAAACACAGACACACTGGATGAGCATGGCTGGCAAATGATACACTACAAAGGTATAACTATTGTTCAAAAGTGTGGAGTATTTTTTTTCTTTTGGCTGCTGAAAATTCTAAAATAAGTTATTTATAATTTTAAAATGTATTAAAATTAATATAAAACAATCACTTTAAATGGTATTAATTACATTTTTTTCTCAATTGCTAACATCCCTTTGTCCAATCTAGTCACATTTTCAAAACTCTAAACACAATTAGCACAACATATGTTTGTGACCACACCATTAACACAATTCATGTTGATTTCACACAATATTCGGTCAACTTACCCCATACCAAAATCATGGATCTTTCTAATCTTTTTTACAAATGCTTAAACACAGCATGACAGAAATGAAGACCTAATGTTCCAAACTTTAAATATAGCGTAAAGACTCAACTTCTGCAACAACAGCAGCTTAAAAGAGCTGATAAGAAATATTTGAATTACTAATAATTGAGAAATAGCTGATTCCAATCTTAATGAATAATTCCAAGTCTTTCCATTACATGACCATGCATGCACAATAAAAAAAGGCACTCTCTGGATTGGTTCTGTTCAAAACAATGCAGAACAGCAAAGAGAAGCAGAAAAAGAAAGAAAAGGCCTCCAAAATACTCTCCAGCCTTTGTTGAAGAGTTCACAGAAATGCTATCAAATATTTCCTCAGAGTTTGACTGTTTTGCTATTGCGGGGGATTTTAATATTCACATAGATAATGCAGAAAACAAAACTACAAAAGAAATGATAACTGTTTTAAATACTTTTGACCTGATTCAGCATGTGCATGAACCCACACACAATCGGGGACATACTCTAGATTTACTCATCAGTAGAGGCCTAAACATTTCATCCTTTGTTATTAAGGACGTAGCACTATCTGATCACTTCTGTATTTTCTTTGATATATTGATCTCTGTTACCACTGAATCTAGATCGGTCTCAGTCAGAAAGAGATGCATTAACGAAAACACTAGTGTGCTATTTATGGAGGCTATATCTTTAACACCAAGCATTTCTGCAGACTCTGTTGATCTTCTCCTTGATTCCTTTAACTCAAAAGTTAAGAATGTTATTGATGTATATTTAGGATTGATTTTAAAGTACTTTTACTCGTTTATAAATCACTCAATGGCCTAGGACCTTAGAAATACCAAGGGTTCACACAAAACAAGGGGAATGTGCTTTTAGTTATTATGCCACCCGCATTTGGAATCAGCTTCCAGAAGAGATCAGATGTGCTAAAACATTAGTCACATTTAAATGCAGACTCAAAACTCATCTGTTTAGCTGTGCATTTATTGAATGAGCACTGTGCGATGTCCGAACTGATTGCACTATATTATATGTATAATCGTTTTCTTAAATTCATTTTAAACCTCTTAAATCAATTTTTTTTTAAATAATTTTCAAAGCTTTAAATTCCTTGTTTTATTGTTGTGATTATTGTTTTTATTTTATTTTATGTAAAGCACTTTGAATTACCATTGTGTATGAAATGTGCTATACAAATAAACTTGCCTTGCCTTGGATGTGGGAGAGAAGTTGGACCAGGACTGACTGGTTTGGTTCAGCTACAAAATCAGACATCAAGAGACTACAACGTACAGTCAGGACTGCTGAGAGGATTATTGGTGCCCCCTGCCCAACCTCCTAGATCTTTACATCTCCAGAGTGAGGAAAAAGGCTAAGAAAATCACTCTGGACCCCACACACCCAGCTCACACTCTCTTCGAAAAGCCAGACACAAGAACAGTTTTTCCTGCAGGCTATATTCAGCATGAACAATTAAAACATTCATCACATCATCCATCCCAACTGACGCATTTATACATATGATAGAATATGAAAATTTTACATTTGTATATTAGACATCTGTAAATAACATATCTGCACACTTGTAAATAACACATCAGTACATTGATTTAAACAATTATGTTTTCCCCCCTCTATATTTCTACTTCTGTATATAGTGCATTATTTAATTCTCTGTTTTTCTTATATTACAGAATTGTTATAATTCCTATGTACATCTGCACTATCATGCATGTTTGCACTGTCCATACTTTCTTCTGCACTGGACGCTCCTGTCTCCAAGTCAAAATCCTTGAGTGTGTTAACATGCTTGGTAATAAAGCTCTTTCTGACAAAGGAGAAGGAGAGGTAGGAGACAAAATGCAAAGGGGTGTATGTTTTTTTTCTTCACTGACAGAAATTTCATTTGGCCAATAAAGCCTTTACTTCAGCAATTCTATAACTTTTCTTTTACATTTCATAAAGTATTGATGACTCCTTCACTATGCTGTACACATACTATCTAAAATGAATTCAAACACAAAAAAATGCAGAGTTCAGCTGACTGAATTATTATTATTATTTTTATCTAAATGTATGTCATATTGTATGTTCTATACAGGTCGAACTGAGACATGGCAAGTAATGCAGTTTTTGTAATGCCATTAATTGTTATCATTTTGACAATCTATGCGCTATTATTGACTATATGTTCCTATTGGATAGAAAAACAGTGTTAATGTTTCGACCGAATGACTTTATTTTGAATTGGGTTTGCTGTGTTTTGATAGAGTTAGTATACGCAGAAAAAGGCATTTAGCATTTTGAAATGTAGAGTTTGTATTTAACAAAATGTGGTTTTGACCAGAAAATGTACTATTTGGCTAATTGTGTGAAGTAGGGGAGTTGCTGTGTTAAGAGTTTAGAAAATGTACTTTACATATTGGTAAATGCTTGTTAGCAATTGAAAAAACTGTGTCATCAATATGACTGTTTTCACTGTATTTTTATGATGAGCATGAAAAAAAAACAACAACAACAAAAATATCTTACCCCAACGAAATGAGAAATTGTTACCATGCAAGTGCATTATTACCTTGCTTTTATAAAGAATTTTCAAAAACAAATTGGTAAAATGATCACGGGCGGGAAATGTAAAGTTATACCTTTGTAAGTATGACAGAGTACAGGAATAGCAGGACCCCAAATTTGTTCTTCCAAGTGTCGTACAGTGACAACACCGCCTCTCTCAACTCTCCAACAGTCCTGAGAGTCCTCTTCCTGAGGAAGGAGTAACCACAATGTGACTATCAATTGGGAAAAAAATACTTTTTATCCAGATGGTTTTTTAAAGCTCCGCCCCTTTCATTGTGAAATTAGTTGCTTCTGCACTACTGGAGTTTTCTGCCAGAAATGTGCATATTTGTAACACAAGGAGAAGGAAAGGGTAAGCCAGTGAAGACTTAAGAAAAGAAACAAGTGACGCAGTGTGGAAAGAGTTTGTACACTTACTGTATGACGCTGTGAAACCTCTCAAAGCCAAGCTCCTCAGCAGCCAAAGCAGCTACACACACCCCATGCAAAAACACAAACGCATTTAACGAGACACAACAGTCCTGAGAAAATTATTTGTAAGGTCACAGTTATAAGAATACACATCGCAGCAAGTTTACACTAGCATGCTGTGTTGGATCATTTACTGAAAATGTATGCATTCACTGCGAAAAGAGAGTTAAAGTATACCAAATATTACGGATCAGTGTTAGGCCCTGTTGCCTATCTGTACAACATCGAGAATGGCTGTTGCTAATTTTCTTACTCGGTGTGTCAGCAGGTTGGCTGGACTCGGGCTCTGGGTGGCTGTCAGTGATGTCACTGCTGTCTGTGGTTTTAGCACAAGGCAAGGTGGCCAGGTGAAAGGCCTGTGTCTTACTGAGACAGGCAGACTCCAGGATCTCACTGAGGGTGGAGCACAGGACTGTCCTCTGCTCTTCCTCTGTAAGATTACACAGCATATACATCAAGCCATGCATCTGATTTCTGTGTTGCATTAAAGTTGCTGCACTGACTAAGAGTAAGCAAGTCGATCCGTTTTGCTGCTAGATGATGTCTTGGAACATCGTTGAAAAGTCGAGCTAGAAAATACTTCTCTCTATAAACTGTGACCCAGGGTAGCTGCATGCCATTAACTTTGCATCTAAGAGTTAATTGCATTTGTGTACAATTCAAATGTCTTGCAAAACCCCATGAAACTAATCCACATGTTTAACAAATTTTAGTTAGTAGGACATGACTGTTCTTTTCGTTTATGATGATGAAGCAGCATTCAAAGCAGGATACCAAATGAATAGGGATGCACCGATATGAACATTTTGGCCGATACCGATAACCGATTATTCTTTATTTTGCATCTGAAGTGTCTCTGAAGGAAATAATGCATTATTTATCGGCTTTAAGATATCGGCCAAATTTTCTTATCAGGCCGATACCGATAACAGAAAAAATGAGCATTTATCGGCCGATACCGATATGGTGGCCGATATATCGTGCATCCCTACAAATGAACATACTAATGATGGCAACAGCTAAGAATGTCAAATATGATCATTACAAAAGAGTGAGGAGGAGACGATAGGAGGAGAAGAAAACAAAATCACTTCAGCTATAAAACAAAAGGACACAATCTCTTCAACAACGCTGTGCAGTGAGCGGTGTTGAAACTGAAAGTGATCAAAAAAATTGGACAAAAAAGGCAGTAGTATTATGGGTGACAGACAGGTAATACAACGTATTAAAAAAAAAAAAAAAAATGTATTTACCAAGCAGGGCAAATTAGCGTGAGAGCACAATCCCATTAAAGCGCTGATGGGAGTGGAAAGTTCTGCGGTAAAGTTACTGACAATGTGCGAATAAAGAACACAGACGCAGCCAGCACATTTACATAATGACCAATGCAATCTACCAAGACCAGCGCAAACAAGCAGAGCCGATGACAATAAGATGCGTGTAATCTACTAACAACACAGGCACAAATCAGTTAAGACATGCTTTTTTTGGGGGCGGTAAATTATGGCGCAAACACCAGTAAACTGACAAGCGCAAACCTTAGTAATTCATGTTGCACGATTAATTTAAATACTCTCCTTCCAGAAATTTTACATTTGAAAAGAAAACTCCTACAAATGCATATACAATACGGTCAGCCACAAAAATGACTATGTCCACGCCTTTTCATCATTAATTTTTCGCTGTGTGTCTTTAGTAAATCCTGACAGTAGTTTTTAATGGGTTTGCGCCGGTGCAAGCTGTTAGTAAATCTGAGCCATAGAGAAGAACCACTTTCGCCAATTTTAGGCACACAGTAAGACTACAATACAGATGTGGGCCTATAATAAGATTCAGGATGATGCCTTTCATTTTGGAAATATGATGAGGGTAAAAAAAGTGCATTAAAAATTCTACCATAATGCTTTATGCATTGGCACCACCTCAATATCAATATTCAATAAAAAAAATCAATAATGTCTTTGTGAAGTCTGTAAAATCTCAAACAAATCTTACAATATATTTATGCTTATTATGGCACTTATTATTACATGCTCTTTTTAAATCAAGGAAAAGAATATACTGCAATGACACTGGATTCAGAAACTTTTGAGTTTGAGATGTTCATAAATGCCTGGTCTGAGTGTTACTGAGGAAACAAAAGTGAAACAAGATGGAATTCCCTTTAAAATGACGCACAACGAACCTGAGATATCTTTCCAGTTTGAGCCTTCAGTGTTAAACAAAACGTTCTTCAACAGGAAAGCCTGAGAAATAACAAACAAAACACACAAATCATTAGGGCTCCACTTAACCAGCCAAAAGGAACAATCTGACAACATAGCATGTCAACTTAAGTCAGTTCAGATAGCAACTGCACCACAGTGTTACAGAGAGAGACAGAGTTTAAGACTCGTCCTCACTTACTCACGGACGCAAATTGGGACAAAAATCCTGGCAAAAGTCAGGTAGTCTATTCCAGCCTTAAAATGGGTGACAAATTAAAGGAAAAACTTGAAGTGTCTTAGTAAGGTGTTGGGCCAACATGTGCCACCACAACAGCTTCAATGCACCCTGCCATTGATTCTCTGGAACTCCACTGTTGGCATTGAATACCATTCTTATAAAGATTTTCCTTCATTTAGTGTTTTGATCATGGCGTTGGGAGGGTGCTTTAAAGGATTCATGAACTGGATTTTTAAATTATTTTATACTGTTGTTTTTTTACATACAAAAACATCAAAATCAATAAGTAATAGGCTATTTTCTACCCTGGTTTTGAGGCTGGCTCAAGAAACGCTCAGTTTTTTATGAGCGTGCTGCATTGAAGACTTGGAAGTAAACGCTCACTGCTATGATTGGATAACAGTTTTGCATAGTAAACCAACTTTCTGTCTGTTTGACAAGCTACGTCCTTCATAGCTGGAGCCTTCTTTGACTTTGGTTAGACACGTACACATAATCAGGACATATCAAGTGATCTCTAACAAAGCAATAGCGACACTTTGTACAAATATTTTTTACTCACATAAATATGCTGCGCCATTCCTGTCGGATCCAATATAGACGGCACAGCATTGCTTTTTAATCTCAGCCTCTCTGCAAATCCAGTGTCGACCTGTGTCTTGTTTACAAAGGAATCCGCGGTGAAATGAAGCGAACAAACGCTCAATGTTTTACTCACATGAGCTGAAACGTCATTAAAAATAAATATTTGAATCCAAAGGAAGGTTATGCAGCGACTGTGTTCTTCCACAACCAGGCACTGCACAATTTTTGCGACCTTCAACAGCATGTTTATTGCTTGGTTGCTCGATCCGGTTTAGCGCCACTTATGTTATTTCCCTACTATTGGTGTGTTCCAAACGGGATATATCACCCTCCGAAGGCCACTTCGGATTGAAAACAATCATATCCGACATTTTGAAGGGTCGTTCCAAACTGAAGTGCTCAAAAATGGACACTTCAAAGGGCCCAAATTGGGACAAAAATCCTGGCAAAAGTCAGGTAGTCTATTCCAGCCTTAAAATGGGTGACAAATTAAAGGAAAAACTTGAAGTGTCTTAGTAAGGTGTTGGGCCAACATGTGCCACCACAACAGCTTCAATGCACCCTGCCATTGATTCTCTGGAACTCCACTGTTGGCATTGAATACCATTCTTATAAAGATTTTCCTTCATTTAGTGTTTTGATCATGGCGTTGGGAGGGTGCTTTAAAGGATTCATGAACTGGATTTTTAAATTATTTTATACTGTTGTTTTTTTACATACAAAAACATCAAAATCAATAAGTAATAGGCTATTTTCTACCCTGGTTTTGAGGCTGGCTCAAGAAACGCTCAGTTTTTTATGAGCGTGCTGCATTGAAGACTTGGAAGTAAACGCTCACTGCTATGATTGGATAACAGTTTTGCATAGTAAACCAACTTTCTGTCTGTTTGACAAGCTACGTCCTTCATAGCTGGAGCCTTCTTTGACTTTGGTTAGACACGTACACATAATCAGGACATATCAAGTGATCTCTAACAAAGCAATAGCGACACTTTGTACAAATATTTTTTACTCACATAAATATGCTGCGCCATTCCTGTCGGATCCAATATAGACGGCACAGCATTGCTTTTTAATCTCAGCCTCTCTGCAAATCCAGTGTCGACCTGTGTCTTGTTTACAAAGGAATCCGCGGTGAAATGAAGCGAACAAACGCTCAATGTTTTACTCACATGAGCTGAAACGTCATTAAAAATAAATATTTGAATCCAAAGGAAGGTTATGCAGCGACTGTGTTCTTCCACAACCAGGCACTGCACAATTTTTGCGACCTTCAACAGCATGTTTATTGCTTGGTTGCTCGATCCGGTTTAGCGCCACTTATGTTATTTCCCTACTATTGGTGTGTTCCAAACGGGATATATCACCCTCCGAAGGCCACTTCGGATTGAAAACAATCATATCCGACATTTTGAAGGGTCGTTCCAAACTGAAGTGCTCAAAAATGGACACTTCAAAGGGCCCTTCGGAATGAAGGATTTCGAAGGGTACAACTGATGGACACTTCGGGCTCCCATGATCCTTTGCGCAGATTCTTTGCATGATGATGACGGCACCTCCGTGTGAGCACGTGATGATGACGCAGAAGGGCACTTCAAGAAACAGTTTAGTCCCCTACACTCTTCAACCCTTCAAAGCTCTCACTCCGGAGGGTAAACCCTTTGAAGGGATTAGGGCATAGGGATGAGCCCTTCCGAATGGAACGCAGGGTAGGTCATGCGCGAATCAGTGGGCGGGGCTACAGAATTAGGCATTGATATTCTTCTGTGGAGGAGGAGTTTAACCTATCTATTACGTCAAAGGTAGATAGGCACATTCCAGGATCTGGCGTTCGTTGGGCCTGGTGTCAATAAAAGCTTTTATTTCAGTAACAAGGACGTTTTCAGTTCTGAAACTTACAGGATATTCTTTTAGTACAATGATTTCTTACATATCAAAAGCTCAAGTAAAAGTTTATTTCTCAATTCATGACCCCTTTAAAAGGCACAATATGTAAGATTATTTTATTAAAATATCCAAAAACCACTAGAACAGTGTTATATATTTTGCTGACTTGTGTACTTACATTATCCCAAATGTTTCGAAGAATGTTTAAATCCAGAGAAATAAGCTATTTTAACTAGTGACACGGACCGTTTCCACGGTGTCATTGTGTCGCCTGCCAATGACGTCATAACCCCTCGATTTTTTTGTAGAAAACATGGAAACACCAAAGATGATTTAATACGCTATGCATTTTATTAGACAGGTGACGACTGCACAGAGTAGCATAATAACAGAACTTTCAAATGTATCTAGTATGCTAAAACAGTGCTGCTTTTTTTCGGTCGACTGTGGCATAATAAAAGCATTCTACTACGTTAATAAATCATTAGCTCATCCATGAACATGATTTCTGCCCGAGTCCCGTCGGATTGCATCGGCTGTGGGGATGAAGATGACAACTCCCATGATTCCACACTCAGTCACGCCGTCATCAAACTACACCTTTGCATCTTTGTTTATTTTGAATACGCACCCTCCAGCGGCGAAAATTATATATTGTGCCTTTAAGACATCGGTCAAAATGTAAAAGAATAGCTACGGCCATGGTTATCATGCTTTAGTCTGGATGATGATATAGTTATTGATCTTGATAAACGGGTCATTACAGTCTTTACACTGGCATACACTGTAAAAAAGGTCCTAGATCACATGTAATTTTCACAAATTTGTCAAATGTAAGTGTTTTGTAGAGACATTTCATCATCTGAACAAATTACATGTAGTTAAACAACAATATTAGCCACTGAATACACTGCAAATCTGTACCTCCAAGCCTCATTTCACTGCTGTCAAAAATGACTCATCAAAACAATAAGTGAACCCTAGTGATCTATGAATGGAGCCACTGTCATCCTGGAAGAGAACAGTCCCACCAGGATAGGATAAAGGTAATCACTTAGAAAAACCATGCCAGGATGGTTCCGGTTCACCTGGATTTTCCTTTAATTTGTCACCAACCTGTTTATTTTATCACTGTAATGCAGCTTTTATATTTTGGACTTTACAAAGGCGTGGATGTAGGCGTATTTCATTACTGACTAAACATCACCATAACCTATGAACAGAAAAAAATAAGGTGAATTACCTGCACAGGTGCAATAACAGCACATGGTCCACCTTCAAACTGCTCCAGTGCAGAGCGTTCAGCCTCACTGAACACAAAGCCTGAAGAAAAAAACGCAGTCAACACAAATCACAGTCAATGTCTCAGTTTAGCAAGTCATCACAATTTATAACTAGGCAAGAAGTCAGGATTAAGTAACATGGACTTGGCATTGGCCCGCTGACCACTCCAGATTGTTTTTAACAATACAAGTAATGGATGTATATCCTTTAAACTGAGCGTTTCAACCTTGAAAACCTGAGTCAGCATTAGTAAGACATCTTTTAATATCAATTAAAACATCAAGAACTATCGAGGCCGCTTACCTTGTGACCACCTGCGGAAGAGGGATACAGGCACTCCCCCACCACTAGGTATGCCCCACACCAGATCCACTACTTCTTTATTAGTATCTGACATTTCAGCACTTGTTTTCTGTCAATATTAACTCAAACCATACATCGAGACCAATGAAGATCTTTGTGACCGCGAACCGCTGTAGTGCACGCGACGTGGCTAGCGCACTTGCTCTGGCCTGCTTTTGTATTCCGTTGAATCTTTGGCTTTGGTGAGCAGGTGGCATTGGCCACAGATGCGTTACTGATGTGTAAACTGTCCCACAAGCGACGAGTAATCGAACGCTCGCGCCAAAAACGTTTAAGAACGTTAGCTTTTGAATACGCAGCCTGAAACGACCGCACGCCACAACAGCTCTATTAACCTCATACAGGTTCGCTTTGTGTCTGAAATGAATGTTATCTTACGTCTTCTGTAGTATTCAGTTCCTTAATTCGAGTTTTCTGTTCTGTCTGTTTAACTGGGCAGGCCTGGTATGTCCTCACTGAAGTTACTCACTCGACATACTGTCTGTGGCTTGTTACATTACTAAACGTCCGAAACAAACGTTTAGCTCGTTCCTCAGACAGCCCGTTTTCAAGAGTAGTCAACTCCACTCGACAACACCCAGAGAAAATAATTCAATGATAAAATGCTCGCTGAGGTAACTGCAGATTGCACTATGATCCATTCAGTTTATTTACGTGCCTCCACCTCAAGTTTCGACTGTGTGAGAGAGATTGGTTCAAATCGAGAAGGTTCTGGTGACGTTGAGCGAGGGAGAGGTTTGATTGGTTGTTACGCCCATCAATCATACGGCAACGCTTTGACATTGTGTGTTGTGCCCGCCTACAATACGGAGGCTGAGCTTGAATATACAGAAAGCTTGGCTAAGCAATGTTATATAAGACAGAGGTTCGGCAGCCATACATTCTTTAAATACCATCTGTGAAGTAGGCGCGCCCACAGAGGCTATAGCGATGTCTTGCCGACAATGTGCATTGAATGAAGTTCCATTGAATGGTCAGAAAACAATGAATTTTCTCTATACCACCTATATACATTGTAAATGTAGATAAACACTGCATATTTGCACTGCACCATACACCATGTTGACTTAGGGTAACAACACAATTTCTTTCAGTTTGCAAGCACATGGTGGGTATAAATTGTTAATAAGAAATGACTGAATAAACGAGCAAAAAAAAAAGATTTAGAACAATTTTTGTTCTAAAATTATATCCTAACAACATTTCATTCGCTTTTATTTATTTACATTTTATTTACAAATATTTAAATGTATAAAATGAACTGTATTTAATAAGTTCATTTATATTGTTGCACAACATACAACATATTGTTGTTCATCTATACGACAGACGAACCAAAAATCCTTGGAGACTTTAATTTTGTTAAAGATGTGACTTTACAGGAAGTAAATCTGTCTGATTCACGGTTGTAATGGAACCCCTCAAGGAAGTGTTTGTAGCCCCATACTTTTTCATGTAATGATAAATTATATTTTTGGGGAAATTTAATTAGGAATAGGAAAAGCACTATACGCGGATGACGGAGCTTTGTGGAAAAAAGGCAGAAAATGCAGGAGGCTATGTTGTTGAAAATTGGGCTAATCAATGGGGTTTTCGTCTTTCAGTTGCAAAACCTCAGGTAATATGTTTTTCAAAGAAGAAGCAAACTCCTGAAGTTAAATTAAAGTTAAACATTAGAGCAAGTATCACTAATAAGGTATCTGGGAGTATGGATGGATTCCAAATTAACATTTGGGTAACATATTCATAAGTTAGTTGATAAATGTAAGAAAGGAGTCAATGTGCTGAGGTGCTTGGCAGGTGTAGATTGGGGAGCTACTAGACATTCTCTTAAAAGGGTATACAGTGCATTAATAAGGTCAGCAATTGATTATTGAATATGGCTCAGCATCAACCTCTTTATTAACTAGGATAGAGGTGATTCAAAACCAAGCCCTTAGAATATGTTGTGGAGTGTTTAGATCCTCTCCTGTGACAGACAGCTTTGCAGGTAGAAATGGGTGAAACACCACTAGACATTTGTGAAATTCAGCTTAAAATGGTATATTGGACTGGTATTTAAGGTAATTTTACCAATCATCCAGTAAAAAAAATATTGGAGAGCTGCTGGGAATATGAGCAGACATATCTAGCTTTGGCTGGACAGTAGGCAAGCAGGTTCAACAAATAGGTATCAGTAATATCGATATTAGCCCCATGGTGGCTCTGCCAGTATATCCACCTTGGCTTTTTTCTATGCCAACAGTTGATTTGCAAATATTTAATTTAATAAATGAAAACAAGAAATATGTTCCAAAAGAGACAATAGTGCAGCAGCATTTAGATAGTTATTACTTTCAATTTTTACAAATTTATACAGATGGTTCTAAAGACCCAGAAACTGGGTGTACAAGTGCTACCATGTATATTCCTCACTTTAAATATAAATCTGCAAAAATAACTTCTAATAATATATCAGTATATGCAGCAGAGATGATTGCTATTCAGATAGCTTTACAGTGGGTGGAAGAAATCCAACCAACAACAGTGGTAATCTGTTCAGATTCATATTCTGCACTCACAAGTATACTGAGTGGAAAATCGGAATCTAGACAAGATATTATTTTTAGAAGTACTGCAAAGTTTGCACCGAATACGGCAACTGAGAATTATAGCAGAATTTTTATGGGTGCCTGCTCATGTTGGAGTGGAAGGAAATGAGGTAGACAAGATAGTGAAACAGGCTCTTAAGCACACAAATATTGACATACATATACCCTTGAGTAAATCGGAAATTAAAGGTTTAATTAAAGTAGCTGTCAGAAAGATATGGCAAGAGAGATGGGATAAAGGTAACAAAGGGCGACATTTGTATAATATAAATAAACA